CTGCTTTAAAACGGATCCTCAGAGCCCACATGATATTTCCTGCATGTTTGTAGAGTTTTAACAATAAATATATTCATTTACAGTGAGCACTTGTCCTGCTCTGTTTTTTCATCTTTACTTTGTTTACTTTGTTCTTTATAAAAACTTCAAGAAGCTTCTTGTAAAATAAAATCTCTTCAATAAAGCACAGCACTTAGGTTCATAAATATTCCTGTTAAATTAATGTCAAAGTCAGAAAACGAACTGCTCAAAGAAAATCAGCACCATGAGGGAGCAGCAGGACAACAAACCTATACACAGACAGAAACATCTTTAATGAAAAGGAGAGCAAGAACCAGGACGAGACAGACCTCTGCAATGTGGAGTGAGGACTTTACATCCACTCATCATGGGCATAAATGTCATGACAATTTTAGTCTTTTCAATATTTCTTTGAACTGCCAGCAAAACAGACCCTGATGCTACCAGCACCATACTTGACAGCTAATAGAGCGTTCTGAAGTCTTCAAGCCTCACCTTCACTCTCCCAAACACACCTGTTATCACTGTGGCCAAATAGCTCAGTTCCAGCAGCTTCCAGTTCGTGGCAGGCTTGAGCCTCATTGTTCCTGAACACCCAAACAAATTTCCTCTGTCAGAAATGAAATAATGTTGTATTTGTATTTGTTCTTGTTAAAAATGATGTGGCCAGGAGTTCAGCCAGTCGGCAGGGGCTCACAGGTTAACAGACATCTAGGATGGTCTACCCACCTGAAGTGTTAAATGCTTCCTCGACTTTCATCCTCGTAAGAAGAGTTGTTGTTATTCATCCACTGAATGGGTCAGTACTGCAGGGTCCATCATTATGTCAGCACGGACAAGCAGATGACATGTATCGTCCCCGTTATATAAATAAATCAACTAGAAAAGTCCTTTCAGTGGACGATAATCTGACATAATCTTGTTGAGCCACTTTTATGCGGCACTTCCCTTTGTTGTGTAACCTTCTCTATTCTATGTGCTTAGGTTCTGCTTGACTGTTCTGGATGACTGAGCTATCTGCTCACTGATTCAAACTGAGATGTGATGACATCGATCAGACGATGCACTTGAACTGCGAAGGTTTATTGAATGAACTTGGTTGTGAAAGGAGGGAGATCCGGGCCCTAGGTTCGTGTGATGCATTAGCACAATAGCGTATGCCTCAATACCGTACAGAAAAAGACCGATAGGTCGATCAGTGAGAATAAAAATAAGGATGTTTATAATCGTCGCAAATGTTCCAGGTTTGACTGTAAATTTATGTAAATAAATATATGTAGTCGCACTGCTGTAATAGATCCTGGTTGATGAGCGCATATCGGAATTTTTATTTTTAAACCAGCTAGTCGGGTGGGGCTCACTGCTTTCAAACACTCAGGATACTTACCCGGAGTGCTTCATGCTTCCTCACCTGTTAGCTTTGTGAATTGTTATTGTTGTTGTTGTTGTTGTGGAGTCATTAAATGCAACAAGGTGCTCAAATTAGCCTTCGATACAACATTCATGTATCGTCCCTGTTGTATAAATAAATAAAAAATATATATAAATAAATAAAACCCAACAAAACAACTTATGACCTGGCATCAAACACGATCCCTTGTTTTCAATCAGAGTCACGTTAATGTAATCAGTAGATGTGGACGTCAGGAATGCACCACGAATCTTTACCGCAGCTGCAAAACAGCTTCTAGATCCACGTCTCAATCTCATAACACTCCTGTGTTGTTATAAGATTAACCGCAAAATCCGCGTCAGCAGTGAAACTGATATTTCATGCAGCGTGTTTGCTGTTTGCCTAAGCTCAGCAGTCATTTGAAATGATACACGTGCTTTGAAGTTAATTCTGATAACAGGGGCTCTCCCAAACATGTAACTGCTCAGTATAATGCCCCCCCTCCCCTTTTTGAATGCATGTCTCGCAAATGTGGAAAGAATAGAGCTTATGCACACATATAAGAATATGAAAAGAACCTAAAAATGACCTGTCTCTATTTCCTCACAGCTGTTTTCATGTTTTCTTATTTTAAAATGATTCGTTGTGTTTGATTAATCTGGAAAAGCAAAGGGACACAACAGCCTGAGAGACGCACGCTGTGCTCTGCTGTAGGTTAGACTGTGATAATCTCTCTCACATCAGCGTTGTCCTCCTGGATTGGGGATTTTAGTCTATGCTTGAAATAAACTGCGAGCGGAAATTTAGCGTGCAGGGACTGTGCCACGCCTCAGAGACATGATAACAAATGCAGAGAGGAATGAGAAAGTGGCCCAACAGGTTGATATCAATAAAATACAAGTTCTTTCGGTGGATGGCAGGAGAAGGCACACAGTTTAAAAGGAACAATCACAGCACCTTCTCAGCACTCCCGCAGAAAGTCCACCATCTAATGTTTTAAGGTGTAGGGATTTTTGTTTGTTTTATTTTATGCATTTTTACATTGTCGAAAGAAAACTGTCAACCAGTCAGCGTTTAGTGTTTGCTGTGCAGATGATTGTCCACAAAAACAACCAAACGTGGCCTTACTGTCACAAACTAAGTAAGGTACTAAACAGTTTAAGCACTGGTTTAGTAACCTCAATGAGACTCCAGAACTTTGCCTACGTAGTTGTGTTTCTGATGATTCATTTTAGTAAAGTGTTTTTTTCTTTCTCTGATATCATCATAGTTCTGCTTGGGCTGCTTCAGGCAGAAGTATATGAGTGGCTACATGTTTAAACTTGGCTGGGCGAAATTGTGAAATGTGACATTTTGGTTTTAATGAGGTTTTCTGGATGTCGCTTTCATTAACATCATTGAAGAAGGTTACCCCTGATCTGTTAATACCTGTGATTTTCTCCTGTTTGACTTTATACACACACAAGTGTTTTCCCCCCAATGTGGCGTTGTCTAAGCAGCAGGGCCTTGAATGTGGACAAACTGGTTAGACTGTACTGCCAGAAAGGAATAAAGAAGGACAAAGAGTCAAAAGATGGCAAAAGGAGTGCCACGCAAAGAGAAAACCCCTCACAGACAAATCAGAGATATAAGAAATGCAGAGAGAATCAGAAAGAGTCCCAGCCTGTTTGGCTTCAGGACTGACAGTAACGTCATAGCCTGACTCACCGTGGAGTGGACTGCTGCTGTAGTGACAGAAGAAACGAGCATCCCAATGTTGTAATAAAAGTGCTATAAAATGTTACAAATAACAAATAATTTAACTGTTCCATGAGGTTTTGACACAGATTGTTGTGCTGTTACATTTTAGGGTTGTGTGCACAAAAGTGTGAAGCTCATATTTTTTTGTGTGAGGGATAAATGTTATTATTGAACATGACTGATGAAAATGTGCAGGTAGAAAATCGAGGATTACATCTCCGTGAGTGTTTCGTCTCCTTCTTTATCCTGCATGGGAGAGAAAAACGACATTATGAAGCTGGCATCGATCACGCATCACTGACTTAGTGGAATGATGCAGCCAGCATTACACCATCCTTTGCTGGATCTTTTAAGGGTGCGGTGGAGCTGTGGTCCTGCTGAAGTTTCACCCAGTTTGAACAGAACAATGATGCAAAATGAGCAGCACACGTCAGGGCCCTTCTCCCCGCAGGCCTCCGTGAAACCATGCTCCGTGGGACATTACACGCCTGCTTTCTTCTTAGTCTTAGTTTTCCTTTTTTGGGGAGCGTGGACTCTTCCCGCTAATAAACATTAGTAGCCTACACGTTTTAATGTTTAATCGTGTTTTACGGAATGTTTTCTTTATGTGACAAGCATGCGTAGCAAAGTGTTAACTCGAGTTTCGTGTCCCGCCAAGAATAATCGATTTATTTTTTCAGTAAGAAACATCTTCAAACATAAGCACGATTGCGAATAAATCTACTGTAAAAAAAATGAAACAGAATAAATGAAGATCAAACATCAGACTTGTAACAGTTCAACAGATAATGCCATCATTTTCCATTTTAGTGCAGCTGTAAAAGGCTTCAGCAGTCAACTCTTTATGAAGTTTAAACGAATGCCTTTTTTTTGTTTTAAATAGCCGAGCATTCTTTTCATTATCTGTAAAACTGCGTCTCATCCGTCGGTCAGCTCCTCCATGGACAGAATCCAACAAATGATTGAAGGCGTGTGTCGCGCCTTTGAACACACGCGTCAGGCAGCTACACTGAGGTGTGTCCTCATTGTTTGACTTCACGCCCAGGCTAGTTTAATAAACAACCCGAGCTCGTTTCTGTCTGAGATGCCTCAGTGTGTGTGTCTGCGCACGCACGCCCGCGTGCGTTTGTGTGCGTGCGTGCGTGTGTTTGTGTGGTATCTACGCTACACGACCTCTGATGTGATACACTGTTTTGTCATGTTTGTTTTTTTCGTTATAGCTATATATATATTTAATTGCAATTCCTGTTACCATAGTTGGAATGTTGCATAAGACAAGAAATGGGCGAGCTTTGAGTTGCGAAGCCCGCTGACAAAAAAACATGGTCTGTGTAGTCATCGAGATAACGAGGCCGATGACCATCGCGACGAGGACGAGGAGTGGATAAGAAAGCCATCTTGCCTGTGAAACTGTAAATCCGGCTCGGAGGACCATGTAATGGAGGCTGTCACTTTAAGAGGGATGGACTTGACCTCCTGACTATGAATAATGTAGACGATAAGAGGGACCAGAGGGACACGCCTCTCGTAAGACAAGCGAGAGCTCACGCCAGGCTCCGAACAGAGCTACGATGTCGGGTGGTGCAGTCTTCGTCTTTTTTGCTCTCTGTGTGCTTTTTGTTGGCTGCTGTGGAAAACCGGCGATTCTGGGAGAGTCTGTAGAGTTAAAAGCGGATGTGAAGTGTGACGCGCAGGAATTCAGTCTAATCTACCGGCTGAGGGATGACAGTCCACGGACTGTGGCCCAGCTGGTAAACGGTGTCTGGATGCCGGGAGAGAGGTACAGAGAGTTTGTGGAGCACAGATCCACGCTCAGCTTGTTGCTAACCCGTGTGAACTACAACTATCAAGGCTACTACGAGTTCATCTGCGCCGGGCAGGTTGTCACCACCATCCAGCTGGAGGTCCTCATCATCTCCAACAACAACCTCTCTGTGCCTGAAGGAGACACGCTCACGCTGCCGTGTTATTTCCACACTGAGGGGGACTCCGTGGACTCTGTTGTGTGGGAAAGAGACGGGGAACTGGTGCTGAACCACAGCCTCTCCTCCGGGGAGCTCATATATGGGACTGGGTTTGAGGGCAGAGCGTCTGTGAGGTCTGACTGGTTTGTACTGGGTGACCTGTCACTGACGGTGGAGCGGGTCCAGCTGGAGGACCGAGGTGACTTTTTCTGCCGTGTTAATAAAGGCAAAAAAAAGAGCGGGAAGTGGAGAGAGAGGGGCAGCCCTGCCGCTGTGAGAGTGACGGTCAATGAGAAGATCACCATCATCAGCAGCACCTCTGCTCCTGTGAGTACACCTCTCCGCTAAACACTGAAGCACATCACAGCTGCTGACTCAGCGC